TTCATGTCTAATGGGCGCTTTATGAGTGAATATTTTCGAAAGATTAACAAGTGACAATAAATGGGTGGAACAAAAGTGTACAGATGTAAGAATGTGCATATGTTTGCGCGAAAAAGCGGTAGATATGAGTAATAGTGCTGTTGAGCTACACTCGGTAAGAGAGTAGTGCGTACTTAAGCTGCTCATGAAAGACACAAATAATTGTTGTTCAGTTGATTGCTCTCGACCAGTTTAGAAAACTTTAAGGGAGTTTCTGTAAGAAAATGGATTATTAGCTACTAAGTTAATAATTATAATCTCAATTTTTCCGTTAAACATTCGGATGAAGTTAGCTTTAAATTCATTACATTTTTTTTAATCGAATAAGTTTTGAGACAGAGTCAAAGCATTTACTTAAGATAGCCGCTTTATAGAGGATTATAAATATTTTTTGTTGGAATTCCAATTTTCAAATTGTCTGACGAGAAACCTTTAAAAAGTTTGAAGTCCATGGGTAAAATCAGCCACATTACTAAAAGCAAATCGAAAACCATCCCCTTCTACTCAGCTCGCCGTGAATAGATCTTGATTTCAAAATCATTGCTTCAAAACTGGACGCAAGTTTAATGATAGTACATTGGTTTCATACCAGACCGAAGGAATGATTTTTAGACTGGTCTATTTGTATACCATCGAAGACGATAGTTAGGCAGGCGCCTACTAGCGAGGAAAATCCCTTTTAATTATCTTTTTTCACTTGTCACTATATATAATAGTATGTCTAAAATTTTATCCAAATTGTACCTCAAATTCTATTTTTGGTTATAGTTCGATACTGCCGGACTAAAGGATAAATGGTAATACTCGAGAACTAGAAAACTAGTTAAGTTCTATTTTAGCTATGCATCAGTTAATAAGAGAACGCCATGAGGAAAAGCTCAGGTGAAGATTGCAGTGTCTGGATAAATTAGAAACTGCAGAATTAGTAAAAACAAAGATAAATGATCATTTGCAGAGGATTCGAGATTTATGTAAGAAGCCAAAGATTCAAGTACATATTATGCCAAATTATCAACACAACCAAACGACTGTTATTTTATCGAGAGACCGATTCCGGATCAGAAAGGCCCCGCATGAGCACCTGTCAAAGCCAACCATGACCTCAAAGTAGTGCAAATACCATACTTACACATATTTCCAGCTGAATAACTTTGTATGGCACTAAAATACCTCACTACCTCTGTGTAGCTGAACACTACGAACTACTCTGGCGGAAAAATTGGGGATGAAAGTGTGCGGCTGCCACGAACGCTAGAGGCACGATTAATAGGGAAATTGTAAAGCAGCAAAGGGAACACGGAATCACGCATATGTTGACAAAAGAAAAATCATAGAAAGTGATGAGGGATTAGAATAAAAAATATGAAATGAATGCAATGCAAGTGGAAATATGCTTTTGCATGCATGCGGCGTGCACATGAATACATCTAGATGTGTGCTATGGATGTATGCGTATATATATGTATATAATACATACTAATGTATATAAAAGTGACGTATTTTCATATAAAGTGCCGCGCTGCATTCGGAATTATGCGCAGGCAATTACACGCGAAAATCAACGTTCAGCGAGCAAAGAAAGTCGTCAAAAACGAATGTGAGTTGAAAAGGAAATTAAGCAGAGGAATATGAAAATGCTTCGAGAATCACAAAAACAAAGCGCAAATCTGGTATGCAGCGTCTACTGAAAGTAAAATTCAAAGCAGCAAAGCCGACAATGAGGATTTCCTCCAAAGCTGAAGTGTGTGCAGTTGTGCGCGCTTGGCGACAATCAGCTGACTGCTTGAAGCTGCCAGAGGGTGGCGTGTGCTAGCTTTCGAGTGACTACTGAGCTATAAATATTACAACAACAGCACAACTGTTATAAACACCACGCAGCAGCTCATTGACAACTCAGCTCATCTATCTGCGGCAAATGAGTGACAATTCAAAGCTGCAGCTGCCCCGCAGCAGCGGGCAAACAGCAGCAAGCAAGTTCCATCAGCAATTTAGAGATTTTTGTTTGAGAGTGCACCAAGTGTTTGTAAACAAAAATATGCCGCACACACTCTCACGCACTCAACTGACCAAGCGTTTGTCTAACACAGACGACACCTAGCGGAAAAGCTGTGCAAGCGCAGAGAGCGTGTAACGGGAAATGCAAGCGAGTCAGTGTAGTTGCGAGAAATTGGGTGTTTAACGGGAGCGGAAATTGTGGAATTCGCGAAATGGGCGTGAAAAGCGAGCATATTTGGGAGCACGAGAGAAAATAGCAAAATTAAAGTTATTTGAAGTAAATTTTCTTTGTGAGAGAAATACTGGCAAAAAACAAAAAATGCCACTGCAAGCAACTGAACTGTGCTTGAGCATATAATAATAGCTCTCAAGTAATTAATTAATTGAAGGCATTTTTTTATTAAAGGTATGATTCCCAATATATTTTCACTACTTATTTTAATTTGTCAGGAGGAAATCTTTTATGTTTGCTCTGCAACTGAACCATGATTTGCCTTGAAGAATACCTACGTAATATGTTAAAATTCTCAGTCTCAAGCTATGTTGCATTTAGATGTTTCTAACCTAAAAAACTTAGAATTCTGACAATTCACCTTGATTACCAACATTGTTTCACTGCAAAATCATAATGCTTCCAACAATAAATGATAATTATTGCTTAAACCAAATTTGTTCTATTATTACTGACGATTTTCTTATGATTTTTTACAAGCTCTGTAGTGAAGATTCTTCCACAAAACTTGTTAAAATTTTCAAGCTTGTGATAACAACATAATTTCTTTACTAATCTACATTGTGTTATCAAACATACAGACAGGCTTACGTAAATCTACCTACTGGAAGCCAATGGAAAGGGTTCAGCGGTTCGCTGCGCTGTGCACAACATAAGCTCTAAGAACCACTCCAACGAGAGTTTTTGAATTAGTGCTAAGCCTGCCCCATATAGACCTCTTCGTTGAAAGCTGCAGAAAAGTTTCCACATAGAACCTTCGGGCTTAGCTCCGTGGGTAATGGCGGTTTAGCAAGCACCGACAACATGATACCAATTTTCAATTGGGAAAGAAAGTACAGGGTAAACATAGAAAAAGATAAGATAAGTTGCCGTAAGGGATGGCTCGAAATTGGATATTAAGAGTTAGGCATAAGGCAGCCTTTTCAGCTGCCACACCACTACAGTATATTTCAAGCAGAGGACCTCGTTAGACAACTCCAGAGTTAACATCTTTGTGGACAGCCAAGCAGCAATCAAGGCTTTAATCTTAATTGTCTCGGAAAGCAGGCTAGCAGTGGAGAGTGTCGCCAGAACCAAGAGACTGAGTGCCAAATCGGTCAAAAATACTCGAATATCATGAGACTAACCAATTATGGATTTGAATTCGTCTTCAACTGAGAATGAACCTCAGTCGATTGCGTGATAGACAGGAATACTCTAAATATGATATCAAAAACGTCATTCTCATTGCAGTCATATGTTTTTTCGTCACCGAAATATACTCAATTTTAAGTAGGTAGCACTCCAGAAGTATTCTGCCTAAATTGAATTACTGTTGAGATCTTTTTAACCCGAGGAAAAGCTGTGATACTTTTTATTATTATTATATACAGTATTTCTAGTAGATGTTCAGTCGATGAGTCATAAAATATATTCATAATAAAGTTTAAGGTTATCTCGAGCAGAGTCCGTTCGGTTTAGGGTTTTGGAAATATTATCCTGGCCAAGAGCCTATTTTAAAGGCGATATTAAGTATTAGCATTGAAATATAAACTGTATGAATTTGGATTACTTTCTTCATTCATAAGTTTTTTCATGTATTTCTTGTAAAAAAATTGTTTGTAAAAAAGGTGTAACATGTAATAGTTTTTGAACATTATTACATACTGAACGGGGTATATTTAGTTTGCCACAAAGCGTGTAACACCCAGTAGGAAACATCGGAGACCTTATAAAAAATATATACAAATGAACCGCGTGACGAGCTGAGTCCATTTACCCATGCCCGTCTGTTCGTCTATCTGTCGGCATACACTCGAACTAGTCTCAAAGTTTGCGAGATTTCAATCTGAAATTCAGAACTCGTTCTTTTCTTCCCAAAATGCGAATCATTCGGCGGAACCGCCGATATTGAACCACAATTGCATATACCTTCATACAAACTGAGCAATCAAAACCAAGTCCTAGTATGGAAAATTAATTTTATTTGAAAAGATATTTATATATTAGTCCGGAGTATTCCTTCAAGTAAGACTTATCAGCTTATCTCTCACTAGTATTAGATCATTCTGAGCAGATATCTCAAATAAACAAATGTATGAATGCATGAAGAGCACAACTTATTGTTCCGTTACTAACTCATAATGACCGCTTAAATTAACCCACACTTAATCAGCCAACTTCTAACGTGTATTAATCGTCAGACACTTAAATAAGAACCTCAGGCATTGATAGCCGCTTGTTAATAGCTTTCGCCGCCCAATCAATTCGCACTGCATTCTTTATCAATGGAATCACAGGCAAAGCTTACACACACACACACACAAACTCGCGCAACGATAAGGCAAAAACAGTTAGATGCATTGCTGAGAGAGCACATTGCAACCCACTATTTAGCGAAGTTTCACACCAAACGCGCTCACGAAGTGCGACAAGTTTGCATGCCTGGCGGCTGAGCTAAAACTTTACTCGCTCTCTGACGTGCGCTCTCGTACGAGTTGGCTCTCACTGCCAAGTTCAGCTCCCGCTGAGTAACTGCACTTCGTAGCGCAACAGCTCCGCTTGCCACATACACACACACACGATGTACGTACGAGTCGCCAATTGGTAAAGTCTCGCTGGCAACCTTTGCGCTCGTGAAAATTTAGCTTTGACTGCTGACTGTCGCCGTTGCTCGTGCTCTTGTTATCATCTCACGATTGTGCTGCTGCTGCTGGCACTAGTGCTGCCGTCACGATGATTCTCCGCAATTTGCACCGATAGCGACGAGTGTGCTATGCTATAGCCGCGGACGGACAGACACGCATTGGCAGCGCTGACGCTGGCAGTTGAGCGGTGTACGTGAACGTGAGTGGACGTTATTGCCACGCCGATTTGGAATCGTTTAATCGTGCATTCGAGCAGATACAAAACGTATCGGCGACCGTGTTTAGTTTCTCGTGCGTGTGACGACGACGGCGACGAGTAGGCAGTAAGCGGCCGTCGTAACGTGTATATGAAGTGTGCGGTGAATACAAACATACATAGATACAGCGTAGTGAATTTGTGAGTGAGTGTGTGTAGATTGGTCGTTTTTGATCTCATAATTCGAGGGTGAAAAGCGAAAAACTTGTTTGAAATATAATTGCGAACGAACGGAAGAGGTAGTAAGAACGCTGCTACAAACACATACATACATATGTACATGCGAACACAAACATAATAATGTGTGTGCTTGCGTGCTTTTGTGCGTCAAAGCGGTACGCTAGTCAACATCAAAAGCAGCAAACGCATGTGTGGCTATAAAAATTATATAAAACAACAACAACAAACAAGCAAGCTATTAGTAATAAGGCGTGCGTGTGTTTTCTGTTTTTCCTTATTTATGTTCTTCTATTTCTCTATGTCGTACCGTGCCGGTTACTCAGAACCACGTTTTTCCTCTGTTGTGTGGTAGCGCCGCTCGTTGCCGCTGTCCGCTGACGTCTCATAACCAATTCACATGCTGTGCAGCCGCTTCTTCAAGCGCTTGTTTGTTTATGTGTTTGTTGCTCACGCGTTTGCATGGCCAATTGCTGCTTCAAAACGGGGCGTAGACCGGCAATGCCAAAAATTTTTGCATATCTATGAGATATACAGGCATATTTTTGCACAACAAAATTTTTATTTTTTGCATTCGTTGAAAAATTTTAACAACTGTGTTTTCATATAATATTTAGCTCACTTTAGCAAAGCGGGAGTTTTAGAAAATTAAATAATGCTTTTAAAATGAAAATTTTCTTTAAAAAAAAACAAATTATATTGAGGTACATAAATTAAAAAAAATATATACATACATATACTATTACAAACAATTTTTTTTTTTATTTTACGAAATTCAGTTTTTTTGTAAAAATAATATTAAAGAGCAAGCACTATAAACAAAGCGTTTAACAGAATCTTAAAAAATATAAACAAAATAAATATAGCTTTTTTCACTCAAAAACTTAAATCTGAAAAATAAATAATATATTTACATAAAGATGTATATATGAATCACTAAGAAATTTATTTTATGTAACGATATTTACATTCAAATTTGAAATTTTGTAAAACACAAAAGAAAAACATTTTAAATTCTTTTTTATTTCAACTTCAATAAAAATTTCATAAATATTTGCTCTCGGAATTGGCAAAAGCCACAACAAATTAAATAAAAATTAACTTATTAAAAGTATTATAATGATAATATAATTAAACAAGTTTAAAATAACCCAGACTATGAAATTTAATTTTTAATAAAAAGAAATTATGTTTTACGAAAATGTTTTTGTTTCTAAATTTTGGAACGAGAAATTGTCGCATTCAAGCAAAGACAATATTGGTAATTATTTCACCACAAAAAAAAATATTAAAATACAAAATATTTCTTTACAAAACTTGACAAGCCAAAATTAAAAATATATATACACATATATACATAAAACTATATTAATATGTAGATTAAAAGAAGTTAAACAAAAATATTTTTGAAATCGTTGTAGAGTAATTTCATATATGTATATGTAGATATGTATGTATGTAGAAACATAATTTTTTTTTTAAATAAAACTATTCTTTATAAACAGTTTGAAAAAATAGTTAAAAATAAAATTAAAATTTTATACTTTTATTTCCTTAACAAAACTTTAAACAATAATAGAAATAATAATAAATTTGTCAAAACAAAAAAATTAAACTTTTCAAAAAGAAAATTCTCTAAAACTGTAAAAGCAAGCCAGCGCTTTATAAAAATAATTTTTTGAAACCAAAAAAATTTAAATAAACTTTGTATTACATTGGAAGACATTAGCAGATTTTCAATATTTCATTAGGTAACTTTCTGCGGAAAATTAAAAAGCTAAAAACAAATTTAAAATATTTGAAAAAATAAACATAAATCGGTTAATAATAATTTCAATAATTTTTTAAGAAAAAAATGTTTTAGAATTATAATGAACATAAAAAATAATAATTAAAAACAAGAAAAATTAATAATTTTCTAGCCATCCGTCAAATAATATTTCAATTAAATAAAGCAAATCTAAATAACTTCATAACCGCACCAGCGCAATCAATTAGCATGTCTAGCGATACCGGTTTCACGTTTCCAAACACACACATGCATACACACAGCCGCAACGCATAACGCCAGCAATGACGCGTGTTAGCTCGCATATGCCTTAACAAGCGCGCAATTAATAAAACAAGTTTTCGCCTTTCATTCACAGAATTTTCTTTCATTTCACTTGTAATTGCCGCCGTGGCAAACAAATTGCAACAAAATCGAAAAATTCGCTAACAGTTTTATGCCAACAACGACTGTTGCACGTGGCAAGGCGGCAAGAAATCAAATTGCAAAAAAAAACAACAAAAACAACTTGCATGCAAACTTACTTGCGCGCAAGAAATATCAGAAAGACATAAAAACAAAACAAAATCGTGAAGTTTCTTAGCTACGCCCGTTACACGAGTCAGCGACGCATTGTTGTTGCTATTTGTTTTAACAATTTTTTCGAAGTGTGTGTGCTTTCTTCTCAACAACTCGACGCGCGCTGCAGCTACATCATTAAAAAGTTTGCCATTCAAAAGCAGAAACAACAGCAAAAAATTAAAATAAAATCAACGGCAAGAACAGCAACAAAAATAAAAGCAACAACATCTTGTGCCTGTACAACAAGCACCGTTCAATAGGCATCAAACAACACGCGCGCAACTCGAGCGCATTGCGGCATAGCTGGCCGCTAGAAGAAATAGCATAAACACATACATACACGCATATGTAAAGAAGGTGCTACGAGCAAGCTTACCTCAGCTAGGGTTGCAAAAATCCGCCCATTTCTGCAGCATTGTATATTTATTTGGCGCGTCCGCAACCACTCGTGCGAAATCATCGACAAGCAGCTATCGGCAGGCGTACAACAGCTCCACCCACGCATCATCAACTGTTGCGTTGTTGTTGTTTTTGTACGTGCTATCATCCGACCAGTGCTGCCCTGCTGCATTTTGTGGATAATTAGTGTAAGTTTTAATGAGCTTTTTTCCTTACTTTTACCCGTATTCCTAGCAAGTCGTCTCATTTTACTTATCTCATGACCCCGTCCACAACGTAAAAGCCAACAACAACAACCTGCTTGATTTGACATCATGAATTTTTACGAGAGAACGAAGCGAATTTAGCACTGTTTTGCTAGTTATCTGCTGACTGCTGACGTTTATTTATTATCAACGTTTCTACACTTTTACCCTACACGCTACAAGCAGAAACAACCCACACACACACACATACATACATAATATATGGTATACACACCCACACAAGCGCACGTACATTTACAAGTTTGCATTCGCATCATTGCACTGCGTCGAAAATAATTTTGTATTTTTAATTAGCAAAGTTTTGAGATTTGCAGTTAAATTTGGTTCTTGTTTTTGTTTTCGTTTACATTTTTGTTTTGCACTTTCTGCTGTCATTCGTCTGCCTATTCTATTTGTTTGTATTTTTCAAATTTGCGCTGTTTACTTTTGCTATTTGCGAGCGTAGAGCGTGCGAGTAGCTCAAGGTTAGCGAGCGCTCTATGCCGGCTGGCTAACAAATACAACAACAGCAGCAATAATAATAATAACAACAACAATAAAGGCTATAAAAAGCAATATTAGATTGCAAAGCAAAGTATTTTTGGCGTGTAAGGTGATGAACTTTTGCGCTTCATTATTGTTTTTGTTAATGTGAAATGAAAACAAACAAAACATGCAACAACTTTAACTTCGTCTACACGGAAGCTATAAAAGCTTTCACAAATAAAAAAGTTTCCATACAACAATTTGATTTCGAGACATCAGTTTGTATGACAGCTATATGCTATAGTGGTTCGATCTGAATATGTTCTTCAGAGATTGTAGCGTTGCCATGGACAATAAGCTATGCCAAATTTTGTGAAGATACCTATATCGTCAAGTGAAAAAGTTTCCAAACAAAATCTTGATTTTGGCCGATCAGTTTGTATGTCAGCTATATCCTTTAGTGTTTCAATAACAGTGGTTCTGACAAATAAACAGATTTTTGGGGAGGAAAGAACGTGTTTAAAATTTAGGATCGATAACTCAAGAATTGAGGGACTAATTCGCATATGTACCGACAGACAGCTGGACATGGCGAAATACTCTAGCTACTCTATAAGGTCTCCGGTGTTAAAAACTCGGCAAACTTAATATACCCTGTTTTGGGTATACACAGACACATTGTACTAGATTTATTTATGTTGTTATTATATGTTGGAAGCTGATAAAGTGGTGTATATAGATGTTTCTTAAATTGATTATAGCAATTTACGGTACTTTTAATTAATTTGTAGTCTTTGCTTCACACATTGGTTCGCCTATGTTGTTGTTGTGCTATATAACTATATATTTTGGGTAGTCTTACAGCGAAACTCTTCACTTAAGTATTTCAGTATATAACTTAAATCGGTTGGCAAAAAGCTATGATTCTGCGGTCGTTGGCTCTCAGCTACCTCTGCTTTTCTATCAGTACATTTCGGTTGGTTTTGTTATATTTCAACTTATAATTAATACTTCTTTCTTCCATACACTTAGGGCTTTCAACTTAACAGACGTGTGATATACCAGACTCTCGTCAGTTTACAAGCAAATAAAAATCAATTTTTCAATTGCAGAGGTATTAGGTTGGTCACTTTGTTGCTCGCTGTGTTGTGGAATATACCTCTACGAGAGCAAGCACCAATTGATCTAAGTTTTAGTTCAATAATATCACTTAATGCAATTTATACCTGTGATTTGTTAATGGGACACTGAGGAATCGAAAAAGCTGCTTCTACTCCTACTTATTATAAGAGAGATTATGTGAGATTGGCTAGTAGCTTTCAGTAGATGCTAGAAGTAGATTACACGCCCTTTTCTCCCCAAGAAGCTACTCTTTTGTCGATATCGGACCACTTTGGCATATAGCTACCATACAACAAAATAAAGTTTTTGTATGGAAACCTTTTTATTTGTGAATGATTGTTTTCGAAATCTATAAATAACTAAGAAATAAATAAATACATGTGCTAAGTTTAAAAGAACGTTGACGCAACAATTTCTACAACTTTAAATATTTCATAAACAAACAAACATTAAGCCAAACTATGTATGGCCATAAAATTGCAAAATCACCACTCCAGCACGCCGTAAAACTCCTTCAAGTCCACCCATTGCCCACAAATTGTTTATTTTAAGTTAATTACTTTTTTTTAAATTTTATTTCTTGCGCAAATATTGACTTAGCTTTGCAGTTTGAAAATGACTTCGTTCAACAAATGTAATAAATCCCATCTATGGCTAATAGTCAGCTGCATTTATGAACTCATTTCACCTCAGAAACGTAGCTAAGTGTGCATAGTTCTAAATAAAGCACAAAAAACAACAACAAAGAGAGAAAAAAATTAATTGTAAACAAACATTAATGTTGGGTATTAACAAAAGCCAAAGTGTTGCTCAATGCATTCGATTGTGTGGTCGAGTGTTGTATGCGAGCGTATACATATATATGTTATGTATGTGTGTTTGAGAGTTTGTGCGGCATGCGTGTGTTTGTATGGAAGATATATGGTATCTTATCAACACTGTGCTCATTTTTCAACGGCTCTTATCAAGGAAATCAATTTTAAGATAAGCAAAGTACGCACACAAACACACATGTAACCTTTAATATATATACATATGTATATGCATTAATACATATACTTACATATTTACATAAAAAAGTGTGTGGCGCAAAGGTGTTGCATGAGTAATATATAATTTCTTACGAAACCACAGATTAATAACCAACGAACTCCATTAAGGAAATTAATTTTTTTATTATTGTTGTTATTGTTGATTGTTTACTCACCTAACATTATAACTAACGGTGCTTGCCGGACCAGTACTCTACACACACGCACGCGTGTTTCAGAATTATAGTCAGTTTTGTTTGTTTACTTAAGTGGAGTTATCAAATGTGGGTAAATTTAATTATTTTATTGGAAAATAGGCAATAATCTATGCCGGAAGCTTAGAAGAGTATTGAACTTTGATAGCCAATGAGTGTGGGCGATTCGGGAAGTTAGGAAAATGCGATATAGCGCTATATTTTGTTATATATGTTGTTTTTTGTGTTATATATGAGGGTATATATATTTTCGGATTTTTAATATAAGGGTGGTACTTATATGCAAAAAAGAATTTATATCTTAAATGCTCAAATCGGACGACGTTACGACTAAAATTAAATTTATCAGACTGATATTTGAATGCTAACAGAGAAGGTTTAAAGCGTGTCGTAAGATTATTTAAATCATCACCAAACAGGTTCACACTGTATATTGACCACATAACTGCACTATTTTCACTTTGACAGCTACTCAACACTATGTAGAGGCCTGTTTTTTCGAGATTAACTAGTAACATTTTAATTTTTTTTATCTTCATGCAAAAAAACCAAACTTTAACTACCAACCGGCGCACCCTTAATATTTACAATATAATACTAAATTTATATAGAAAGGTACACGATATAGTTTAAGCCTTTAAAATGGCGAGACTGTAAAAAACATAATTCGTTTGATTTTTAAGCACCACCCTATGAAAAAAGTCAAAAATGTCAATAGTAAACTACCCTAATATGAAATTAGTTATTGAAATTGCATTTATTTAAAGAAAATAATATCTTAAGTTTCTTTTAAAACCAAATATCCAAAAAAATAACACCACAAGTTACATTTTGAAGCTTGTTCATATTTGTCATCCCCTTTATAATCTAAAACTCATAGTATACACACCTAGAGAAGAATTCACATGCAACATTTTCGTCCTTTAGCTTTCATAACGCAAACCGCATCGCTATATTATTTATATAACATGACATATTTACATATTACTAATATATATCTACCACCGTATAATATTTTATACCTTAGTTATCTCAGTTATAGTTTTACCGTGTCTTACTCATTTCTGTTTTTTTATGGAGTACGATATATCATGTTTCTAAAAATAAAACAGTTGTTTGTATGGTCAGATAATAGGCACGACTGATATAAATATGAAATCACAATGTAAAAATATGTTAGTTATAATCGTAACGTAAATGGAGAGCTTAGTAAGAATCTCCATTTAAGTTACGGTTATAACTAACATACATTTATATTGTGATTTCATACTTTTTTATTAATTCTATTATTTCCTCCCAAAAATTTTTTGCCACAGTATAACAATTTGTAGATTTGCATACACCTATCACTGAAACACTGGATAGTATACTGTCGTGAATATCCAACAGCTTCAATTTGAGTGACGATTCCACATCATTAAGTGATGCTATAAAAATGTGCTGAAGAGGAAGTTTATGGAAAGAATTCACCAATGCTGTCATCGCTTATAAAAACCTTGATTTTGATGCGATGTTTCTGTAGCAACCATATCTTTAGCACTGAGATGACCTAAAATGAGTTTTTCGTAGAGTTAGATCACTCTGAGGATGTGTAACTTTACATGCAATATGGATCCATTACAAAGTCCAAGAAACGCTCGAAGAAAATATATTTCACTCAAACCAGTGAACACTATGTATTTGTTAGATCGTTGGGGATGCACATAATGCTACTGTCATTGGTAACCTTGAACGGAAGATGTTCTCAGAATAAAATTATAAGTTTTAAATTGTGGAACAAATGAAGGCATTTCATCTCAAAAACACCTGATACCTATTTCGCATATTTTTGTTTTTTAGAATATTTTTGAGAAATTAAACGACATTCTAAATGTTCTCTTACTACTACATTTGCTTCTGCTCTCAAAAAGACTGTTGAAAAGTCTTTAACCAATAATAGCTCTAATAAAAATCGCCTTTTGCTAAGATTTAGTGCTTTTTGATCATGATATAAATAATATTAGGATGAATATTAAAAGTCCAGACTCTAAAACTTACTACTTATCGTTTTCCCAAACCAGACGTTTGAACATTTTAACAACCTCACTCT